TATAATCATCACAATACAGTTTCTAATCAATGTTGTTGATGCTCTTAACAATCAGTATATTGAAAGTCTTTTACCAGAATGAGAGATTTCTATTGTTTCCCAGAAAAACATTAAAGGAACACTAGATTGTTGGGAATACAAACATATATTCCTGACACTATATTTCTAAAACCGCTGTTTAGGTGACTGGCTCCCCTTGCCCCCTGTTAAAAAGTTTATTTACTCACCCCTTTTATAGCGCTGCACCGGTCTTGTAGTGGCTGGCTCCACACTGCTCTGCCTCCTTGGCTATCTCATATCTTGGCAAACTTGACTATCTCAGCCAATCTAATGACTTTCCCATAGGAAAGCATTGGGAGACTATTGCACATGCGCAGCAAAACGTCATGCTGCACCAAACAGCATCTCCTTATAGTAAAGCATTGAATCAATGCATCTCTGAGGAGTGTTCAGCATCAACTTGCAGACCTTGAAGCCGCTGAACTTCCGTGCTCTGCAGTGTGCAGCACTGACCTAGGAAGCATCTTTCGTGGCTGAGTGACGGTCACTAAAGGGTTATTAGGCAGCCTGCAGCGACATTCTGTAGACACTAGGACAACTACATTTTGCTGTCATTGTTTTGGTGACTATAGTGTCCCTTTAAATCATGAAATTCAGTTTCAAAACTAATTTTAAATGTGTGAATTGTGAGGAAATAAATGAATGTAATACTGTAATACTTTTCCCTCTCTTCCACAGTTTCACATGGTAATGTGCATTGTGTATATTTTCCTTGCACTGCTGTGGTTTATCTGGTCTGCCTGCTATTGGAAAGATCTGCTGAGAATTCAGTTTTGGATAGCGGCGGTAATTTTTCTTGGAATGCTGGAGAAAGCAGTTTACTATGCAGAATATCAAAACACTAACCACACAGGAGTCTCCAGTGAGTTCCAGTGAGGATTTTTATACACCTTATACTGTGATCCTTCAATACAGTGTTATAAGCTGTGGCCCTTCATCTTTTCTTTCCTTAGCACATGGACTGCTGATCTTTGCAGAATTGGTTTCTGCGGTAAAAAGAACTTTGGCTCGGCTGCTGGTGACCATTGTAAGTCTTGGATACGGCATAGTGAAGTAAGTGAATTCTGCTATATACTCCTAAAACACAATTCATATTCAAATAAGGAATATTTTTGCTTCTGTAGTACAATATTTCAATATTTTTTATTTATTTTTTTTAGATTTAATGACTGTAATGTAATCCACATTTTGTGTTCATCGGATGAATGGGTTGCTCTTATTTTGGTACCATCTTTCTGCATTATAAAGACGGCCTACTTAAAATTTTACAATATATTTATTTTAATGCTTTCAAAATTGCCAAAAATATGAAAAATAAATAATCGCATACATTTTTAGGTGAGCCTGCTTGCACCTGTAGGCAGACCCCTCCCCACACCAGGATGAATCACTTCAGTCAGCAAGTTCTCATTCTGCCCTACAGGGATTGAGCTTATCCCATAATACCTTGTCCAGTGGTGGTTGATGGAATACGTATTTTATCCCCAATGAGCAATTCCATTAATCACAGAGGATGGTTGGAACGATTTATTAAACTGGTGGCAGCTGACAGTCAAATCAAGAACTCAGGGGTACTCTAACACCATGCGTTTAGCAGTAATGCAAAGTGTTTATAGGGCTTAGGCTGACTCTTTAAGACCGTAAGTATGTGCCTATATTACATTTATGTAATATGTGACTCAAGGCACTAATTGTATTTTTGGGTCAATCGTGGATACAATAATTATTTTATTTATATAGCGCCAGCAAAACTCCACAGCGCTGTACAATAGCACCCCAACAAGTTGACATAAACAATACTTAACTGGATACTATGCACACCAGAAAAAAAACAAACCGCAAAACATAAGCCTCAGAATTACTGACACTGAATATATACACATCAAATAAACAGTAACCGTCTTATCAGGTCACCCAACAATATATATGGTACCATTTAAAAAAATGTTTGTTTGTTTTTTTGGTGATATTCTGCCCACCCCTTAAGTATTCATTAGTATGAGTGATGTAGTTCAAAATCACCGCAGCTACAAAGAAATCCAATGTTTTGGCTGGTTGTATAGTGGAAGAAGCTTAAATATGCAAACATGTTATCTCTTATATAAGATTTCAGTGTCAGTATGTTGTTTGTGATTTTTTTTTATTTTTATGCTCAGACCTCGTTTAGGAGCACTCATGCATCGTGTGGTTGGAATGGGCATTCTTTACCTGATATTTGCAACTATTGAAGCAGTGATGCGTGTTACTGGGGTAATTATGCTCTTCATTACTAGTCTTCATACATAGTTCTTATTTGCTTGATTGTACAGGCAGCTCATACTTTATAACACCATCATGCGCAGTTAGTGAAACCAGCAGTGCAGTTATTCCCACATAATGCTTCACCTCTGTGATGTTTAGTGTTCCCAGACTTGGGCAGAACTGGGATAGAAGTCTGCATGGAATTAGGAGTACAGCGCTACGGAATTTGTTGGCGCTATATAAATAATAAAATAATAATAATAATAATCCTCAACAACAACAGCCATTATTTTAATTCAACTTGTTCTTGTGGCGACTCCACTGTCCCCCAAAAGTTTAAATAATCATGATTTTGCATTATGCATTTACGCATGGATTTTGTTTCATTGGGGGTACAACTAAAAAAAATCTTGTAAAAGCTGGAGCTCTCCCCATCTAACCCCAACCAGATTTTATTTTGTCCAGTAACAGACTTCCCAATGCAGCTTAGTGAGAAGTCTTTGCATTGCAGGTGCTCTGGGCAATTGCTGCCTCTTGAGCTTAGTTCCACTGAGCCGAACAACAAGGAAATAAAGGGACCAATTGTTTGTCAGCCAGAAGGATGTTACAAGGTTAATTTATAAAAGTGCCTATTTTTTAAATTTGCACTTCTTGTAAATCTACAAACATTTATATTTGAAAACATGACCTGCCTTTTGAAGGAACTAGTCATGTTATATATTGCACAAAATCTGTAAGTCTTTTTAAGATAACCTGATGGTGTGTTTTTTACTTTTTATTTTGTTACAGACCAAAGAGTCGGATTTGGTTTTATTGGCCAGTATTCCTTTGGCGCTGCTGGACTCAGCCTTGTGCTGGTGGATATCCTTTAATAGCTTAAAAACATTACATTTACATAGTTTTGATTAGCTTGCATCACAGTTAAAGGTCTTTGTCCTTCTATTCTGTAGAAATGTTTCAACACCCTATACCACAGTTTTTTCAGAATAATTGGAAATCTTAAAACTGATGTTTTAAATTAATGTAAGTTACAGAACAGTTTGTGGAAAATTTAATTTCCATTAAATACACCAAAACAAAACAACTTTAGCTTAATGAAGTAGTTTTGCTGTATAGATTAGTCTCTTTGCCATTTAGGAGTTAAATCACTTTGGTTTTGGTTTATGCAGACCTAGCCACATTTGACTGTGTCTCACATGGCCTCCATGAAAAAAATGGTCTAATTTTCAACCAGATCTTAGAACACAGTGTGTTTTTATTTAGAAGTTCTTATCTACTGCTCTGTTAATTGAACATTTTTTTTTAATCATACTCATCAGGCTGTGGAGGCTCTAGCAGGCAATTAAAAGAGCAAGAGACAATACATTCTAAATTAAACATACTGTGCAGTAAGGGAAGCTACAAATTTAGACTCTTTCAGGAAGTGTGTAGGGACAATCTGTGAGTCTCAGCCAGGGGGATTGTGATTGGGTCTGCATAAACAAAATTATTTATCTCCCAAATGGCAAATAATTGAGCAGGGAGACGGCAGGATCATGATCTGTACACCAAAACCATTTCAATAAGCTAAATTGTAATTGGTGATTTGTGTCTCTTTAATTAGAGAAACTTCTTAAAACTGCATAAGTACAAGCCAAAGTTAAATTTCCTGTAGCTTTTCTGTATAGTGTTTCATAATGTCTTCACTTAATTTCTAAAGGACTTCAACAAATGTCCCTTTAACACCATGTCAGTGGAAGCTTATTTTGATTGATTTTCTTTATAGCACGACACACTTTAGACGCTTCCAAGAAAATACATTGTGTTGGATTTTGTTTTTGTGACTATTTTATTTTTATGGGTAGTTCTGAATTTATTTTGCTGTTTGTGTTAGAGCAAATGGTTGCTCTCATGGCTGAATTCAGAAAATAATTTAATGTGAGCTCCGAGGTTTAAAAAACAGGGTTTGACCAGTAGAAGTCTACTAATAGATGCTAACTAAAATAGGTAATTTTTTCCATTTTAAAATATCTAACTCAAATCATGAAAATTGAGGATGGGGGGAGGGGGGGGGGGCGGGTGTGTGTATATAAACAAAAGATACAATCCAGCGCACTCGCTTATTCACTAAACAGTGATTTGAAATCTCACAGATTGTAATAGTTTTATTGAAAAACACCTCACCTAGGCAAAAAATAATGGGGGTTAAGTTACATTATACGAGCATATATTGCATAAGCCTGCCACAATGTCAATGTACCCCATTCTTGGCAGGTCCTACTGTAGCAGCCTAATGCCTGCCCTAATGAGATCAATCGACTTGGAAACTACTTCCTCCTGGGACTCTCTGCAAGTCCAGGCTAAATAGGATCCTGGAATGAGCCACCTATGATAGGGAGGGGTGCAAAACCAAGGAGTTGACCTGGACTCTCAAATATATAAATGCTAGAATAGGACATGCCAAGAATAGGGTACATTAACGTTGTCAGGTTTATGCAATATATGTGTGTGTTTAAATACAACTACTACAATCTGTGAGATTTGAAATCATTGTTTAGTGAATAAGCGAGTGCGCTGGATTCTGTATTTTGTATGTTGTATATATTGACCCCAGCAGCACCTTGTATTGTATTGTATTCTTGTTCAGGTGAGTGCAGTCCTGCAGTCTTGGTATGTATGTATGTATGTATATATATATATATATATGTGTGTGTGTGTGTATATATATATTATATTTCTATTGCATATTTTCAAAACTACAGTATTTTGGGAGTTGTAGAATGATGTGTGTGTGTGTGTGTGTGTGTGTGTGTGTACAGATATCTGTTTGTGTATAGAAATCTGTAATTTGCTTCCTGTATTGTGAAACTGTAACGTTTATGAGAATATTAATGTTTATTTAATTCAATTAAGAGTTCAGAGTAATTTTCCTTAGTTTCCTCATACATATTTGTAAGTCTTGCACAGACTATGAAAACCCTGAAGTTAAGAAAGAATACTGTAAAATATTCACTTTATAGACACTTTACCAATACCCTAATTTTTGCTGTTATAGGTAAGATTTTGATATTTTTTTTCTGTTTTTGATACTTAGTTTTTATTAAGATTTTTTTAACGTCTTATTATTGTATAATTATTTGTTTTTTTCATTTTAGCTTCTGTAATATTTATGGCATGGACGACAAAAACCTTCAGATTATCAAATTGTCCAACTGTGAGTATAATTACTTTTTTTGTGTTGCTTTGCCCACATATCTCACAAATATATGAAATATTGCGTGGGTACTTTGTAGAAGTTGAGTTGGTTTAAATAGTATTTGGTTGCAAAATAAGTGAGTGTTTAGGAGTGTGGATTCCCAAATGCTTTACATTTCAGATACAGAGGTGATTATCGATTAAGTAACAGTCTTCTACATTTTTTTACAAAGTCATGCACCTAGTGTTGACCTTTATTAAATGTAATCCGCTTCTTTTACACAATATATCAAATAAAACAGAAATTTAGTTTGAATGCATTGTCTTTTCAAATGCTTTCCATTTCCTTTCCCTATAAAATTACAGCACACAATTCAGTTGTGTTTTTGCATTTTATTTATTATTCTAGTTAACTGTTTCAGGAGCAGATGGAATATCGGGTTGCTATAATGTCACAATTCTTAAAAAACAGTTTTTCTAAGATGGCCACAAAAATAACAAGGACATCCCACGTGTATTCTACCCTTCTGTCTTGGTTATATATTTAGTGCTTCCTTGGGACAGATCAGCTAATGGCCTCATGTGTACACATTGCCATGACTCCAGTCCTGCATTAAAAATATCCCTCTTCCTTCCTGTACTCGTAGGAATAGGAGGACCCTTCTCCCATTTATATATATTTTCCTCCTTTGCCATCCCTCCCTCAACTTCACATTTAATTTGTCTCATTGTGGGCATTTCATTTCTCATTCTCTGTTCTTATTTCAGACATCTGTCCTCCAGGACCTGATCAGTCTTATTTCCCCCATCAGCCTTTATTTGCTTCTGTATTCCAGTTTTGCACTGATGTTCCTAAAGCTTTAAAGCATTCACTCCCTCAAATGTCACCCTGTCTCCATCCTTTGTAATCTATGCCTCTGACTTATCTTTTATCATATTTTCTCTGTTTTATCTACTCCCTGTACCTCTTCTCATTCAATCTCTCCCTCCTTTTTCCACTTTCATCCTCAGTCCATATCTATCAATCCTGTTGTGCTTTTTTTTTTATTTTATTTTTTCCTCCTGCATTCTATATATCCCCTGTCTTCATGCAACACATTCCATTTGCAGATATCATTCAGTGACTTCTACCATCAGGAAGCCTCCCATTCTGTCTCTTCATTTCCCTTTTGCCCCTTGATTTTACCTCCCTTATCTTGGGATCTACCTTTTTGAGGGTGCCCATAAGGAAGACCCCAAGATGTTGTAGAGCTACAACTCCCTTGATGCTTTGCTGCATGCCTTTAAAATGATAAATCATCATGCAAGCTGTACTTTTGAAACATCTGGGGAGCTACCTGTAGGACACTCCTGCTCTAACTTAACCAGGCTCAGCCATTCACCTCTGACATCCCATCGCTTCAGTCTCATTGTAACCAATTCTATTTTTGGGCAATACACCTTTACTGGCTGTAAGACTGCTTTCATGCACTCAAAAATAGTCAGGAAAAGTAGGCTCTTTGATACATGTACAGTGAGTGAATTATTGCTGAGGAGTGGGGAAGTAAGGTATGTGGCTGAGCAAACGTTAAGAACAATTTATTAAGAACAAAAAACCCAAATACCTTGCTGGTGGTCAAACATTGAGTGAAGGCCACATGCAAAATAGCAGTTGGACAAAGCTGTGTTAGGAGAATATTATACATACTGAATATTTAAAAAAAAATGACTATAAGGAAATTAATGCCTATTCACTTTTCACATGTGATGTTAACGGTCATCTGGTTATTTTTTTTTTGTCTTAACTTTTGATTTATTTTTTTCATTATAATCTATTCTAGGACTGGATGGAGCTTTGGGTGGATGATGCTTTCTGGAGATTGCTGTTTTCTGTTCTCTTGCTTGTTATTATGTTTCTTTGGAGACCTTCAGCAAATAACCAGAGGTAAAGACTTGGTTTATTTCTTCTGCTGGAGCATGCTACTACTAAAATACACTTTGTAACTGTATTAAATCACTGTTGATAAAGCCATTAGGACACTAACCATTATTTAATTATTTTTACACTAAAATAAACCTGATTCAGTTGCATATCACGCTTCCATTATTATAAGTAGTAGTAGTATTTTTATTTAATTTTTTCTGTATTTGATCCATTATTTATATGTACATTCCGCGGATGTCGGGGGGAGCTCTGATTAGAGCAGCCAAATGTTCCAAAGACAATACGTATCGAAGAGGCTTATGGGCACCCCTACCCTGTCCCATTTGTTGAATGAAATGTGTGAGACGTTAACCCAACAGTTGACACAACCAGTGATGGCTTTATTATATAGTGCTAATATGTTTTATATAAAATCCTCTGGAAAAGCAAAAGCTTGATGGACTATCAGACTTGGACCCCCATCCAAGTCTGTCAAAAGCTTTCAGCTTCTACTGATAGTAGGAGGCTCCCCCCCACCACACACACTCTTCCTTGTATTGTCCGAACCACTACAACCTATAACAAATAAGACGTGATCATTCAAGATTAAACAAGGTAAAATCTCCTTAACAGGGTTTGCAAGAATTGTTGTGTACAGTCAATATTTAAAAGTGAATTGGGTCCAGTGTTCGTGCTCTCCGTCGCAGGGGGCTTTATAATATTATATTTGCCAGGATTTTGTCCGAAGGTGGAGCTTGTTTGTGATTTGTGCTTTTGAATAATGTAGTCAAGTGAGGGAAGAGAACCTTAAAAAAAAAACTGTTTGTTTGTAGTACAAATTTGATAATCCATCTGGTCCAGGTAACCTGTAGGTAGGGAGTGTAGAGATGACCTTTTCTACCTCCTCCTCTGTGATATCATTGCTTAGAAATGTTTTTGAGCAGTAGACAGATGGCAGGGACACACCTGCATTTTAGTCAATCATGTGTTGATCTGCTTGGCTTATATTTGGCCTACAAGAGTTTTGCCATCCCTGTAATAAATCAGTTAACTGCTTCTGGACATATTTGTTGTGCTTTTTGCTAAGATCAGTGTTTCACAAACAGGTCCTTAACCCTAGCTTTACTAGTCATTCTCGTTGGAAAAGGATTTGGAAATCCATAAACCCTAAACTATTACAGTTCCATAGGGATTGGTTTGCAAACTGCTCATTTTTAAATTGCCAATGGCTTGTTACAAGTAGTCAACTAATCTTCTCTGACCAAGATAGACCAATTCTAGAGAGTGAGCCAAATCCTATGAAACTGATAACCACTGTGCAGCATGTTTCCATTCCCTTGTTGGTACAATAGATGGGTTTTACCACAGAACTGCATCAATTAATGTATATCCCATTTTCAACACATGAATCACAGGAGAATCTTCAGCCTTGAGTGCAAATGTCACTGTTTTACTGCACTTTTTTTTTTTTTAATTATAGGTTTTTATTGTCAAAAAAAACGCATATTACAGAGTAGGTAATAGCCATAAGTAGGAAATACATGGTTTGAAATAACTGGTTTGAAATATTGAAAGAAGGTTACACGTGTTGGGTATAAGTTTAAGTCTGTGCCGTCCCGAGTGGTCGGGGGTTGTGACTGTTCAGGATAAACGAAGTGGGGAGGGGGGGGTTCGTCGTCTAGTCCCTTTGGGTCTTGTCATTGAGCGTGGGTCTATCACTTGACCCTTTATAGGGTATGTGTCTGGTCTTCCCAAGGCTAATTCGTCGTGCCCAGAGCGGGCTTGGCTTGTCTCATTATTGGGGTAGTCAAGCTCTCGTTCTACAAGTGTGAGCTGTGTGAAACTCCGTGCGTACTAGTGAGAGTTACGATGTTTAAGGAGGGTATCTGTTGGTCCTTTGGACCGTAGATGTGCATCTCTTGTGCGTCTCGTCCTATTTTCGTCATCTAGTGCAATCAATGCCTGGGGTGCGTGTCAAACGGAGGGGGAAAAAAAAAAAAGGGGATCTAGAGCTGGGGGTAGAGGAGGGTAGGTGTATATGGTCTCGGACAGACCGGTGCGACTGCTAGATCATCACGCGATGTACGAGATGGTGGGCTTGCTCCCTAGTGTAGTCGTAAGTATGGAAGTGTATTATGGGGTCTGGTTTGACATGTGTTTTTCCCATGGGCTCCACACCTCCCGAAAGAGAGGGTATGTTTGTGATATAGATGCATGTATTTCTTCCATGTCTTTAATCCCGTCTACCTTCGTGATCCATTCTCTAATTGTGGGGGTCTCTGGGTTTTTCCATTTTGCGGGGATGAGGGCATTGGCCGCTATAAGTAGTTGTGCTATCAGAGTGCGCATTGGCTTCTGTAGCGGCGTGTGCGGGAGTAAGAAGAGTAGGGCTTGGGGTGTTGTGGGAAGCGTCAGCCCCGTCACTATCTTGACCATTGTCAGTATGTGGTTCCAGTAAATTTGTATGTTAGGGCAATGCCACCATATGTGTGCTAAGGTGGCCCCCTGTTGATGGCATTTCCAGCACGTACCTTGGGTCTGTGGGAATAGGTTATGTAGTTTCGCCGGTGAGTAATGCCAGCGGGATATTCTCTTGTAACCACTTTCTTGTATCCTGTTACAAATGGAAGTTTTGTGAATTTGTGTAAGTATGGTTTTCCATTGGGGTTCTGAGAGGGTAATGTTAAGGTCCCCCTCCCACGCCTCGGTGAACCTGGGCATCGACTTATTATGGTTAGTTTGAAGAAGTTTATAGAACGTCGATAAGTGTTTGGTTTTAACGTTCTGTGTTGTACAATGCATTTCATAGTCTGTGAGTGTGCGGGAGCCTGATTTTAATATAGGGTTGGACTGTATGAAGTGGGTCAGTTGTATATAATGGAAAGTCGTCAGGGTGGACGGATTGTCTTGTGCTGTTAGTTCGGTGAGAGGGCGGATCGAGTTATTGTCTAATACTCTCCTCAACGGGAGATAGGGCGCAGTGGCAGAGTCCTGTAAATTTTGATAGGCGGCCTTCTGTAGGCCCGGTGGAAAGAGTGGGTTGTGTGTGATTGGGTATAGAGGAGATGGGTGTGGGGAGATGTTCGGTAGTTTTCTTATACGTGACCAAACCTTGAGTGTAGGGAGGATTGTGGGATGGGAGGCATAGTGGGTAAGTAGCGCGGTCGTGCTAATTCCTTGCCACGGTATCGTGTATAGGGGTACTGTGAAAGCCGCGCTTTCGAGTTTACCCCATTGCCTTGCAGGGGGACTAGTGGTCCATTCGTAGATCCTGGATAATATGGCGGCTTGATGGTATCTTTCCATGTGTGGTAGGCCTAAGCCTCCGCTAGCTTTGTGTTTGGTTAAAATTTCGTAAGGGATCCTAGGATGTTTATGTGCCCAGATGAAGGTGGTGAAAAGTCGCCGTAATTTGGTGAAGAATGTTTTGGGTATAGTGATGGGCAGGGTTTGCAGTAGGTAAAGTACTTTGGGGAGTATTGTCATCTTGAGGATGTTAATCCTACAGAGCCAATTAAATTGCGGTTTGTGCCATTCGTTAAGGTCTTTATTTAGGGATTGGAAAAGGGGTTCGAAGTTTAGGCTGAATGTAGATTTTAGGTCTGCTGGAAGGTGGACTCCCAAGTATGTGATGGCCTTGTCAGCCCAAGCGAACTGGTATTGGTGTCGCAAGCGTTGTTGCCTGTGGGGTTCAAGTCTGATGGGTAAAATTTCGCTCTTGGAAAAGTTTACTTTGAAGTTTGATATTGTGTTATAGAGTGAGATCTCGGCCAGTAGGGGCGCCAGTGATGTGTCAGGGGCTCCTAGGGTGAAAAGCAGGTCGTCCGCGAATGCTGCGACTTTATATTCTGTCTGCTGTACTACTATGCCCTTTATGTCCGGGTTATCTCTGATGCCATTTAGGAAGGGTTCTAGAGTGAGTATGAATAGGAGGGGGGATAGGTGGCACCCCTGTCTCGTACCGTTTCGAATGTGAACAGGGTCAGACAGTTGACCGTTGATCCGTAGCTTCGCCGTAGGGGTTGAGTAAATGGCTTGTAGCCATCTGGTCCAGTTAGGGCCTATTCCCATTGCCTTCAGGGTCGTCAGCAGTAATACCCAATCCACTCTATCAAACGCCTTTTCCGCGTCGATTGACAGTAATAGGCTGTCTGTCTGGAGGCGTTGTGCGTGGTATATTAAGTTTAACATTTTGGTGGTATTATGTTTGGCTTCTCGGTTTGGGACAAATCCGGCTTGGTCCGTGTGGATGAGTGTGTCAAGTAGTGGTCTTAGTCGGTTGGCCAGTATTTTGGTGAAAATTTTTAGATCAATATTAATTAGAGAGATCGGGCGGTAACTTCCGCAGTTGGTCGGGTCTTTTCCAGGCTTTGGAATGAGTGTAATGTGGGCTTCTAGGGTAGAGGCGGGTAGGGAGGCGGTTAAAGCTACTGAATTAAAGGCTTGTTGGAACGGTTCCGTCAGGTCGTCTGCGAATGTCTTATAATATTTAGCTGTGAAGCCATCAGGGCCTGGGCTTTTCCCCAGTGGGAGTTTGTGGAATGCAATTCGAGTTTCTTCTGGGGTGATTGGAGTTTCTAGTGCCTGAAGTGCGCTAGCCGGGATGGTCTGGTGGATTCTAGCAGCGAGAAATGCTTCCACTTCGTGTTCAGGAGGGGGGGATTCCCTAAGGTTGTATAGCTCCGTGTAGAAGGTTTGGAAGGACGCTAGAATATCTGGTAATTTATGTGATATGTCTCCGCGTGGAGTTTTGATTTTAGATATGAACGTCGTTTGGCGTTGGTTTTTTAGGGCTCGTGCTAGTAGCCGACCACTTTTTCCACTATGGGCATAGTAGGTGTATTTGGTGCGAAGTAGGGAATGTTTAACTTTTGCGTTAAGTATATCTCGTAACTCTGAGCGTTTGGCTATGAGTGTCGTGTACGTAGCTAGCCTGGTATCCCGTTTGTGTAGGTTCTCGAGATCTCTAATTTCGATCGTGAGGGAGTGAATTCTGGCTTCTCTGAGTTTTTTAAGTCGTGACGCCTTGGCTATAATTTCACCTCTAAGAACACACTTGTGTGCTTCCCAAACCGTGGACGGGGACGTGAGGGTCGTGGTGTTTTCGGCGAAATAGAGTTGAATGGATTTTCGTATCTCGTCTACAGTGTCCGGGATATTGAGTAGCAAGTCGTTGAGTTTCCATTGGAATGAGCGTTGTGGGAGCGTTGGGATTCGTACGGTAAGAGACAGGGGTGCGTGGTCCGACCATGTGATTGGACCATAGCTACTGGATTGTACCAGGTGGAGGTGTCTGTGTGGTAGGAAGAACATGTCTAGTCTTGAGTAGGTGTGTGTGGCCGGAGAGAAGAAAGAGTAGTCCCTGTCTGAGGGGTGGGATGTACGCCAGCAGTCGTAGAGCTGTGACTTGTCTATTAAGGTTGCAAATTGTCTACGAGCTGAGGCCTGGTAATGGTTGGTTCGTGAAGTTGTATCTAGTGTCGAATCAAGGGAGAGATTGAAGTCTCCGCCTAGGAGGAGTATGCCTTCTGCGAATTGTTCTACAATTTTGAGGTGTTGGCGTAGAGCTCGGCACTGGTGTTTATTGGGTAAATATGTGTTCGCCAGTGTGACCTTTGTTTGCCCTATTTGTCCCTTGACTAGGAGCAATCTCCCAGAGTCATCAGACTTGTGAGACAGGTATACGAAGGGTACTCGGGCTGATATTAGGATTGCTACGCCTCGTGCTTTGGCGTCCTTGAAGTTACTATAATATCCAGTTGGGTATCTCCGATCTCTAATGGTGGGGGCTTTATCCTTCTTAAAATGGGTCTCTTGTAGGAAAGCGATGTCAGTTTTTAGTTTGTGTATTTCCGTGAGTGTCAGTGAGCGCTTCTCGGGAGTATTCAAGCCTCTCACGTTTAGCGTGGTGATCTGTAGGGTAGCCATGTGGGACTCCGGTTGTGGAGTAGGCTAGCACCGGTCTGCCTTGCTTCAGGGATTGGGGGACGAGGGTAGGTGGTGGAGTGTATCGGTGTATTGGGGGGGTAGTAAGGGTGAACTATATAACTATGTACAAGTATATACATGAAGGGGTATTGTCTACAGTTACTGTCTCTAGACACTAGGGGTGTAGACTGCTGGGGGTATCCGTGGGTGACTCTCCTGGCATGGTGTATTTCCCCCCAGGAGGGCGGGTTGTCACCCTGGTTGGGTCGTTGACCCAAAAAAGGAGCCTAGTGTTCCGCCTCGATGGCTGAGCTCGCTAGGTGTCTTTTTCCATACACTTAGGCGTCGTCTTCTGTTAGCGGTGTAGGAGTTGGTATGTTGGGTATCCTCGGTCGAGTGTGTATCCGTATACGTGGCGTTAAAATTCAGTAAGGGCAATGTCATGTGGTCGGGACATGAGTTAGCACGTTTCGCAGCGTGTGTGAGTATGGAGCGTGGCACCCCACTGGGGGGCAGTGTACATTTCCGTAGTTAGTTGTAATCTGTCGGAGGTCTGATCGTCTCCCCGCCCAGGCCATTGTGTGGGCGTTCATCTTTTTTTTTTTTTCGTTTAAGAATAGGGGCGTCTTGTCCGGGGGGGGGTGAGTCTGGTGTCTCGGTGCGACACGGTGTCAAGGGAGAGGATATAACACACAACAACAGTATAACATGTGCATATAACAAACATAATGCAAAATCAGCACATACAATCATATACCTATGGTGCCTTTAGGCCTTTATATAGGGTCGTAATTGCAACAGTGTACTAAGAAGGACATTCCTCAGGGGCCCCCCAGATATCTCCTTAAGGGGGTGGTGATTTGGGCTGCGGTTTGTCTATAGAGATAGTAGCGTGGCAGGGTTCAAGCTGTATTCTAATGTTCCTTGCCCCATGTATGCCATGTGGTTCAATGCGTCCCTTTTCTCTCCCCCGGGAGGTCTGAGGGAGCCCAGGGGCCCGTCCTACGATGTTGAGCCGCAGTGTATCGCTATCGTGATTTTTTTTTTTTTGATTTTTTTTTTTGAATTTCCCCCTTGGTGTTGTTGGGTGAAGTGTTTTCAATGGGACTGGGGCTCTAGCGGCTGTAGGGGTTGTTCTTCTCAGTTAACCTGCGAGGTCCCCGGCCTTGTCGGTGTGGGGTGCTGGTGTCGTTGGAGTCATCCCCGTTGTCATGGCAAGGATAAGCGGGTGTGGGCCTCTGTAGGTTGGTGGACCCCCCCTCCTGACCCCACCGTGTCTGGGGTGGCAGGCATAGCCCCCACGGTACCTGGGTTATGTGGGTTTAGGGGGTAGGTGTTTAAGAAGGCGGGCCTGGGATGCAGAGTGTGGTATGTATCGCTACACGCACAGCGTTGGTGCCGTGTGTTCCCTCCTTCCCACCCCTCCTGATCCCCCGTCCCCCGAGAGTATCTCCCTGACGAATTCCCTCTGCTCGGGGGCATAGCGGGGGCAGCGCTCGAGTTCCCTGTGGTTAAAATAGCTGCACCGTCCAAAAAGGGCTGGGTGAATAACACTAACATCACAAAACATATTAATTACAATTAAGAACTGCCTTAGGTTAATAGTATTCCCCTTTGGGATCAGAGATTGAATGATATCAACAACAGTAAAGTTTGAGTCTTGCAGAGTTTAGTCCGTGTCATAGGGAGTAAGGTCGGACCATCGACTGTCAGGGGCAGGGTAGATGTGGGAGTCAGGGCTACTGGCGTGTAGCACTGCTCCAGATACCCCTTCCCCTGCCTTCCCCCCACTGGAAGGGAGTAGAGGCCTCATCCTCCAAGGCCTTGCGGAAGTCACTGGAGGCATATGGAAGTCTAGGGTGGGGTTGGTTCGGAGACTTACAGGTAGAGAGGCCTTGCTGTCAGTTGGGAGTAATGAAAGTCTCGGTCGGGAGCAGGGGTATACTTGCGTGTCCCAAGTGCAGGTGTTCCGAATGTTCTCCGAGTCGGACCATTGTAATCCTGGAGAGGGCCAAGCAGTATCGTAGTGGTCCGGAAGATCGGACCCATCGGCTTTCTCGGAGGTAAGTTCAAAAAATTCCGGTATAGATGATGTCGTGTTGGGAGGTCCTGTGGGGTGCCACTGTTGTGTCGGGTGAGAGTTGCGCCTTTAGTGTTGAAGGACATCTCGTGCTGCTCTCTCTTCGGCTGCCGTTGGCGGTTCCGTTCTTCTCTTCCTGGGGGTGGTCTGCCAGCGAGCCCGCTGCGGTAAGGCCTGGGTGGTCTGCTGTATGGCAGGACCATACCAATCCTGAATTCTGACATCCGGTAAGTCAAAGTCCCTCAGAAAAACGGGTATATCTGCCGGTGATGATATGACTCTTGTGCTGCCCTTATATGTGGCCGTAAGGGAGAATGGAAAGCCCCATCGGTATTTTACATTGCGGGCTCGGAGTTGGTCCGTGATTGGTTTCATGGTTCTGCGGGCCTGAAGCGTCAGCCAGGACAGGTCCGGGTAGATTGCTATAGGTTGCGAGTGGAATAGTAGTGGTTGTTGAGTTTGCCTGACTGCCATCATGATGTCGTTCTTACATTCATAGTAGTGTAGTCGGCACACGACGTCCCTGGGTGCATCCGTGGCGGCACTCCTAGGGCGCAAGGCCCTGTGGGTCCTGTCGAAGACAATTTGGTCGGCCAAGTACAAGGTTGAAGAGCTCGCGGAGCACCGCTTGTAGGTCTTCCTTATCTTGTTCCGGCAGCCCTTTCACTCTCAAGTTGTTCCGTCTCCCTCTGTTATCCAGGTCGTCCATAGACCTTTGCATGTATGAAATTTGTTCGTTTTGGGCTTTCATGGCATCTTGTAGTGATGTAATCTGGGCTTGTAACGTGTCCCTGTCGTCCTCCAGTGCGCTCACCCGTTGCTTAGTGAGTTGGGTGTCGGCACCTATTTTGTCTAGTTTAGTCTGGAAGGCGGCTTCAAGTTTGCCCAGCATCTGGGCTAGATCTCTCCTGGATGGGAGAGCTCTTATCAACTCCCTGAGGTCCGTGTCGGGGTTTTGGCTCGAGGCCTCTGATCCCAGAGGACTCGATGGAGGAGAGCCCGCTGGAGGCGAGTCGGCGCCATATTGGGGCCTGTGGGGTCTGGCTGTTGCTCCGTTGCATCGCGAAAATACTTAGGGCGCTCGATTTCCCTGCCGGGGTCTTCCCCGAGGGGTGCTGCCCGGCAGTGGCGCGTTTAGGGTGTCCCATGGTTGTCTGAAGCCCGATGGCAGTGGATTACACTTCGACGTGGAGGAGCTCAGTTAGCAAGCGTCCATGCGGCTCGGCAGTTGGCTCCGCCCCCCTGCACTTTTGTTTTATCTCGGTCATTAGACATCTTTCAGTTTGTTTTCCGGCTTTTTCCTACTTTGCATGATGACTGCAAAGTACTGTAATAATAGGGAAAGATCTTCACAGTACATGTGTGCATAGACAATTGTGTTTTATTCACTTACAAAAAGCTGTTTTGATGTATGTTTGGCATTGTCACTGATATGGTTTGTACAGCATGTTTGTTGCCTTTGTTTTTTTGTGTTTTTTTTGTCCAAAGTAAAAGGTGTTGTATTGAGGCACTGGCTTCTGTGCTTTATAGTGCAAGACAAAATGTGCAAGAAATGTTCACAATTTGTTTCTTTGCATTCATTCACAATGCTAACAAATACACTACAATCGTGTAGTAATTTCCTATAATCAGTTACTTTTTTTTTAATATATATATTTATTTTCAACAAATCAGTTGTTTTTCTTAACATATCTAGCCATTTTTTTCTTCAGGTACGCATTCACCCCACTAATGGATGATTCTGATGATGAGGTGGAAGAATTCTTGGTAACAGACCATTTAGGTGATGTACAAGTGCAAAACTGTATACAGTCTACCCCTGGCTCCCAAATACTTTGTCATCGATGTTAAACTTCTCGTTGTCTTGTTTTCATAATAGCTGAAGGAATGAAATTAAGAGGAACGAAGACAGAACCCAATGGAACATCAAAGCCTCCTGCTACTAATACAGTAAGTAGTTGTTCTAGAATGTTGGTAGTTAATATAGTGTTAATTTAGAATATTTAAATCTGCATCTACAAATGTACCTGACATCAAGTGCTCTGTTAAATCGTAAATCTTTCCATTTTGTTCTCTTCCGTCCATAATGTCTGAAGTTTGTTCTTTGTTCTTCTTCTGCAGGATTATTTTGACTGCTGAATTGTGGATAAATTAGCTTAGTGTCTGAAATGAAACTTTGCTAAGCTCTGCCCTCTGCCAAAATTATGCCTTATATAAGCACCAATAGCTCCTACTTTTATTCATGTATATAAGAGTGATTTTAAGAATAACTAAAAACTAAGGGAAAAAGAGGAACATGTTAATTTTAAAACTCTGGAAAGTGGCCGTGCCATTTTAATAAGACTTGGCTGGAGCTCAAACAAACTCTAGTTACAGTATCGGGAATGCAGGGATTGATTAAGTTGATTGGTGTTGCACTCACTGTGTAACCTATCTTCTATATGCAGTCCTTTTTATGGTGGCATAACTGGGAAACAAATCCTGACTCAAAGCCAAATATTTACTGAGCTCATCATCGAAAGAGGTTGGATGTTTGTTTTGTTTTTTGTTGTTGTTTTTTTTAGCTTTTAAACTTTGCTTATGACTTTATATAAAGAGACCGTTTTATTACTGTGGAGCTCTGTGATTGATTCATACAGTCTGATTTCCTGGATAGAAAGAGTGATTTTGGTCTTATTGAGTCTCTGTCCCTCCCAAAGAAAAATACTTAGAATCCATGGCAGGCAACACTTATGTTCTAGCTTTGCCATGCTGGATGTTGCATCTCTCCCCATCCGTCCCAGTACACTCCCTGTATTATTGTCTCATACGTTATTTCAGTATGCTCACAAATGTTTCTCGCTGTCTGATTTAAGGATGAAGACTTGAAGTGGGTGGAAGAAAATATCCCGACTTCATTTGCTGACGCGTAATTATGTTTTTATTCTTGTATACTAGTCCTTAAGTTCATTTAAGTTTCTAGCGGTTTGCATGCAACTTTGCACTAATATTTACCATTTGTACTCACCCAGGCACTCTAATGCTCAACATTATGTATACATCATCTAGAAAATATTATTTACGTACAAAAAACAAGTCATGAGATAGCTGTGGGGTTAATGGTCAGGTTGCTTTATCTCATTAATTTTGACATGGTCAACTAAGGTTGATAGTGAACACCACTGAGTTGGGTAATAACTTATATAGGATGATATAAGAATATTATTTAATTTCATTGCATTCACATTACTTGAAATGAGTTAAGTCATCTATATTCTAATGTTCTCATTCTATAAACCAGTGCAATGTGACCTGCTGCTGTTGGATGCACTATTCTAGTTCATGAAATTGTTAATAAGGGCTAGAGCCGTGACTGATCGCTCTACTTATGTAGCTGTAGCTAGAAGTAGAAGGTACACAAAATAATCCATAAACCTTGGATGGGCAAGAGTAGCATTTTTATCAATTCAACCCCAGAGGATTAATGGGCATAAGTGCTACAAGAATGTCCATTTGAAATGTCTGTGAAAATGGCTTGTATCTTAATAATTTTTATTATTATTTTTTTTAAATTTGTTTTTATAGAGCGCTTCCAGTGTTAATGGACTCCGATGAGGTAATCATTTTGGGAACATAAATACTTTAAGTATTATCAGGAAATATTACTTTACTGAGAGGGTAGTGGATGCATGGAATAGCCTTCCAGCTGAAGTGGTAGAGGTTAACACAGTAAAGGAGTTTACGCATGTGTGGGATAGGTTTAAGGCCATACTAACTATAAGATAAGGCCAGGGGCTAATGAAAGTATTTAGAAAATTGGGCAGACTAGATGGGCCGAATGCTTCTTATCTGACATCACATATTTCTATTTCTATGACCTATTCCATGGGTTGGTAACCTTGGGCACTCCAGATGTTGTGGACTACATTTCTCCTGATGCTTTGCCTTCATTTTGGCTGTAAAATAATTATTCGAAATGTAGTCACAACATCTGGGGGTGCCAAAAACTGCCTACCTCTGACCTATTCAATCTTTGGCATGAATTTCATATATTTTCATATATTTTGAAAAGTGCAGTTAATAATAAAAAACAAAACAAAATAAAAGTAGGGGGAAAAAACAGCGTGCAAGAGAATACAGAAAATCGCACGTATAGGTGGCCACTTGCTGGGTCCACGTACGTTTTTCAAGCTGGTTTCAGCTCACCTTGTGCCAATACAGAAAGCTTAATCCTCAGACTGACCCCAACTTAATAGGCGGAAAAAAAAACCAAAATGCAGGCCGGCTTCCTTTGCACGAGACATACAGCAGCCGTAGATGGTCCTTTCCACCTTGTTTGGCTTTGTCAGGGAGTTATAGCAGATTACCCCTCTAGGCACAGTGAAATAGTGGTCAATGTCTATATTACCCTTCTACCTTAGCAAGAGCGAAAAAATATGGTGCAAAAGAATATGAAGTACAACAACTGAAATGACTTGTCCTTCGGTGGGTTCCAGCTCCGTTCTCAAGCAGGTTTAACTCATTTTGTGTCAATTCAGAAAGAGCCTAGTCCATTTGCATATCAGACTGGGCCCATCCAAAAAATAAATAAATAAGTCTATTTCAAATTGGCAAAATAATAAATTATTTTTTTTTGTCCCTTAAAAGGTTGTATAATTTGGAGAGAGAGATAATATTTTTTGTGAACATGTGTATTTTCGATAAATACAATTTTATGAAAATATTTGAAATCTAAACACTTGTCTCAAACCTCTAATATTTTAAGAGATAATATACCACTCAGATCAGATTATATTATTTTTTGTAGAACTAGCATTACATGCATTCCTGTGCACCATGTGAAAAGAAGTGTGATGTTGAAGCACTAATAATTCAGAATGATAATGAGAAGTCTAATTTTATTTTATATTTATTCTTTTTTTTTTTTCTCTTTTCTTTTCAGGAGATCATGATGACCAAATATGAAATGTCTAAAATTGAATGATCTCTGGATAGATTGACAGAGGAAACAAAATTGCAAACTGCTTCACTGATTGGCCTATGATCTGCTAAATTCCATCAGTGTTGAAGAGTTTAAAATCGATGATGTATTTCATATTTTCGGACCATAGAAGATCTTCCAAATCCTCCTCTATCCTTCCAGAAAACTCCTGTTTTTTTATTTTAGTGGTTTTTGTTCTGTTTTTTGGGGTTTTTTGTTTTTTTTTGTAGCCATGCTAATGGCAATTCATGGCATGTACTTTTTAATTTTCAGGATTTGCGAGGTGGTGGAAGAGTTGTGACTTTGCATGTTCCATAAGTGGTTAAAATATATTTTTATCTAAGATTATCGCTACAATAGGAATATGCAATGGATCTTGTTATGTGTGATGTCAAACACCCTTGTAAAGATAAAACCTTTACTTGCATATACGAATTTAAACAAATTTAAAGAAGTCCCTTTTATTTTGTGAGAATCTGTGCGAAAGGACTATTTGACTTTTTACCTGTTTGTGTTCTCTATAACTCTGTACATTTTATTTGGCGTTTTCATGCCATAGCTGTTGCCTTAAAGATTTCCTGTAGTTTTACAGGCAAGACATTTTGTACCAATCAGATTTGGTCAGAGTGGAGTGAATGTCACCCGTTGGGTGAAGATTATAATTTGTAATTCCTCTCCTCTCATTCGTTTATAAAATATGTTGAACTTTTTATGTTATTTATGAATAATTATACTATGTGGGTTCTTTTTTTTTTTTGTGTGTGCATAAAATAAACTTTTTAAGTTGGTATATCAAAAAGTTTTACAAACATGTACAATCTTCCTTGCAAACGTTCAGTTTTTCTGTTTTCTAAATGAAAAATTATTTGAAAGCAATTTCAATTTTGCAAATAGTCATCCTGTGTCTTTAAGTTTATGCTCTTCAATGACTATACATGGTGTTGAATTTTGTTTTTAATCTAAAAAGAAAAACAGTTCTTTACAAATGCTTTATTGCTTATTTATTGACTAAAATCTCATTTAGATTTTTCAGTTTTTTTCCCCATATTTAGTTAATGTCTACAAGAGACACATTTTATAGTAGTTTTTCCAGAAGGTAATAATGTAGTTAGAATGGATTATAGCCAAGTTTGTATTTAATACTGGACCCAGCTCTCATGTAAAATGTTGTTGCAGTGTGTCCAAGCCATCTCCTAATGCCCGTGAGATGTTCAGTAGGCACTTGAGACTGTCTCTTTACACAGTAAAGTGGATTATGAACTGCAGCTATGATTCCAACCATAAACATACTTTTTCTCCTTCTTGAAGTAATTCACTTGCCCGAATTGGTAATTGGTGTTGGCTTTTGAAAAGGTCAGGCCTGTCTTTTTTTTTTTTTTTTTTACATTAATTCTAATTGGCAATGAAATGTTTATTATTGCTCTAAATGTTTAATGTTCAATAATGGGACAAACACCTAGAAGCCTGCTGAATTCATTGCAAATCACATCATCCTGAGGTGGCAGTCAAAGTGCAATTCAGCAGTATGTGTGTGTTTTTTATTTTACTGTAATTGCTGAGTAAAAGTCAGACTTAAAGGAACAGTATGGAGTCAGGAACACAAACATGTATTCCTGACCCTATAGTTTTAAAACCACCATTTAGGTGGCTTGCTGCCACTTAGTCCACTTAGAATGAGGTTAAAATGTACCTTATTTCCATGTGCCAGCTCTCTCCCTGCCACCAATCTGCCTCTTTGTCTTATATCATCAGAATTTATTTCCCATAGGTAAAGCATTGAATTGGCTGAGATTGTCAAGGAGGCAGGGACAAACGCTGGCCTACCCAATCAGCGTCTCCTCATAGAAATGGATTGAATCAATGCATCTCTATGGGCAAAGTTCAGTGTCTCCATGCATAGAGTGGAGAGTGGAGACTCTGAACATGCAGCACTGCCCCAGGAAAAGGCAGTGTTTATAGTCCGTCCCTGCAGGCTTTTTGCTGTAGACACCATAACAACTACTAAAAGCTGTAGTTGTTTTGGTGACTATAATGTCCGTTATGTGTGGATTGTGTTCTGCTTTAGGTGCTTCAAGTGTCAGTTCACAGTGTTTAGAATGTTGTTGTGCTTGGCAGTTTTGTAACTTTGTCATCGTTGTACAAATGCTGCAATATGAACAGCATTGATCCCTCTATTTTCCTATGTTTTAATAATGTTGACCTGTCAAACGCTAGTGATTTGTGATAAGCCCTGTTTATTTGTATTTTAGTTATAATAGTGGAAATACAGTTTGTAGATTTATGAGATGTGTGAACTGAATGCCCATTCTAATGTACATTGAATCTAGAGAATCTTTGACTTGAATAGGCAAGAATATCTACGCATTTCACACCATCAAGTGTCCTGCTTATTCTCCCTTCTTTGCTTTTAGTGCTTAAAGGCACACTATAGGCATTGTAACTACCGTATTTATCGGCGTATAACGCACCTCATTTTAAGAGGGAAATTTCAGGGAAAAAAAAACTTAAAGGACCACTATAGTGCCAGGAAAACATACTCGTTTTCCTGGCACTATAGTGCCCTGAGGGTGCCCCCACCCTCAGGGACCCCCTCCCGCCGGGCTCTGGAGAGAGGAAGGGGTTAAACACTTACCTTTCTCCAGCACCGGGCGGGAAGCTGTACTCCTCCTCTCCTCCTTGCTCGCGACGTCATCGGCAGGAGCCGCGTGCGCATTCAGCCGGTCGCATAGGAAAGCATTTACAATGCTTTCCTATGGACGCTTGCGTGCTCTCACTATGATTTTCACAGTGAGAAGCACGCAAGCGCCTCTAGCGGCTGTCAATGAGACAGCCACTAGAGGCTCTGGAGGCTGGATTAACCCTCAGTATAAACATAGCAGTTTCTCTGAAACTGCTATGTTTATAAAAAAAAAAAAAAAGGGTTAATCCTATAGGGACCTGGCACCCAGACCACTTCATAAAGCTGAAGTGGTCTGGGTGCCTAGAGTGGTCCTTTAAATTTCAAATAAAGAACTTCTTTTCCCCTTCCCCCTCTTACTCCCCCTCCCCTTCTTACCCCCTTCTTACGCCCCCTCTTCTTACCCCCCTTTCTTACTCCCCCTCCCCCTCTTCTTACTTCCCCCTCCCTCTCTTACCCCTTTCTTACTCCCCCCTCTTCTTACCTCCCTCCCCTTTCTTACTCCCCTTCTTACCTCCCTCTCCTTACCCCCCTCCCTCTCTTACCCCACTCCTCCCTTTCTTACTCCCCTCCCCTCTCTTATTCCCCACTCCCCCTTCTTCTTCTCTCCCCTCTCCACCCCCTCTATTCACTACTCCCCTCCTGTATTCAAGTGAGGCGCTCAGTGTGCACCTTCCTGTCAGTCCCGGGTACAGGGAAACAGAAACTCCTGTTCCGCGCGGAACAGGAGTTTCTGTTTCCTGTACCCGGTCGGACTGACCGGAAGGTGCACACTGAGCGTGCACCTTCCTATCACTCCGGCCGGCCACCGCGGACAGCAGAGCGGCTCTGCTACAGGGGAGGTGAGTACCAACTGCAGCCGCCTGAGCGCTCTTGACAGAGCGCTCAGGCGGCTGCAGTATTTAAAGGGCCGGCGTATAACACGCACCCACAATTTCTCCCCTATTTTCAGGGAGAAAAAGTGCGTGTTATACGCCGATAAATACGGTACTTAATAGCATTGTAGTGGTTATAGTGTCTGGAGTCCACTTGTCATAGAATATACATGGCTGACAGATTGGCTATTGCTGCACATGTGCTGTGTGCTTTGTATATGAGATGCCTTTTATTGGATATGATCAGTAGTGATGATTTCACAGGAGGTAGGTCAGAGCTGACAGACTAGGAGACAGATCCCTGCCCTGCAATAAAGATGAGTTTAATTGCAAGTTTTAATATTTTCCGTACTGAAATGGGGGGAATAATCGAAACTAAACAGGAGTGCTCCAACTTGAAGAAATTTTTTTAATTTTTTTTTTAATTTGAGTATTGCTTTAATATAGGAGTATAGAACAATTAAATGTTTTAATTTATATATAAAATGTGCTAGCAGAGTTTCTAAATTTATAACCTTCAAAGTCAGTTAGGGTAATTTACACTTTTACAGTGTTCATAATCTGTTCCTTTTTATCTTAAACATATTCGAAAATATGTTGCCATTTTACATTGTATATTTTTTTTTGGGGGGGGAGGGGGTTGTGCAAATATTCTGTGCATGTTCTGCCTTGTTTTGTACACCAAAATACAAGCGGTAAGAGAACCCCAGAAAATACAATACTTTTTTTATGCAAAACAAACGCATAAATATTAATTAACTGAATGTGCTATTAGAAAAAGGAAACACAAGGAATCTGTAACAAAAGAAAAATGTAATGTTGAAATGTTGCAAAAGTAATGAAAAAGGGGAAAAAAAGACCACCTGAATTGATTCACGCCTGAGAAGCTCCACTGAGCTACCCAAACCAGGAAGTAACTTTATCTATTGTCTGCTTGAAAAGCCAGGGGGTGTTGCCAGGTTAATTTATAACATTTTTAATTTCAAAAGAGGACACACTTTTCACACACACAGCTTTTCAGCAAACTAAAATGCTATAGGGGTCTGGAGTGCCCCTTTAACTAGACCTGTCTTGAGGTTCTTCTCTCAGAACCCCTCAATTAGTAGAACATATAACGGAGAACCTGCTGATTGTGATGTTTGAGAGAGATATTGTAATTACTGCCATTTATTAAATTAAGCATAAAAAAAACTTAAATGATTTTCGTTTTGTGAAGGCTTTTAGCTTGCATATGTGAGGCTTTTTGAAAAAAAAAAAAAAAGATGCATTGTGCTCAAATTACTGTTTTCAGAAGAAGTGATATCACTCACCATGTAGAAAAGATCCTTAGCCATGTAAGCTATATATTACTGATCGTTTTAAACTGTAGCTGGTTCTTTTTTGACTGTCAGCTAGCACACTGTGAATGTTAATGGTAAACGAAGTCCCTTCATTGCACGCATGACATTTAGAGACTGTGTGATCAGAGCCTATAACTGAAACTGACCATTATTCACTAAGCTCCGAATTGTAACTACAAATGGTCAAAGAATAGAGGGAAACTGACAATTTTAGAAGCTTCTTTCAAATCTGCTATTTGGGCCTTAATGTGCAATTCAAATTTTTAGAAGCTTCAATTCTGAGGTTAGTGAATAACTTTGGAAGAAGGAGAGGCAACAGGTTAACTGTGAAAATTCTTGTTATTCTTGTAATCTGTATTTTTTTTTTAACTTAGTTTACAGTTATATGTAATTTTTTCATATTCATCTTACTAAATATATCATCAGTATTTGCTTTTCTCTTATTCAAATTGTGTTCTTTACAATTAAAGTTACTTACCCAAAGCTTTCCTTCACTGGTGCTGCCATCTTCCGTGTTCAGCTCCTTGTGCTTCATTTGCCAGCGTCACTACTGTGTTCTTGGGCATGCGTGAGTGTATAGAACAGATCTTTTAGTTTAGAGGAACCAGCAAGACGGCCGGACTCTCCATAGACCAAAGCTGGAAGACTGAATACTTGATAGAACATGATGGTGGAAGCTCCATCTTAAATAGTTTTTTTTCAACTTCACTATAGTTAATGATTATTTCATTAATGAAATACTCTTTAATGTAGTGAGCCAATAAATTATTATTTTTTACAATACTTGTAAATATAAAATGTATGATGTGCACATTGATCCCCCCCCCCAGCAGTTAACTTATGCATGGTTTTAGGAATAGTGCAAATATAATTCTAAATTTTTTTTAAATTTATTTTTTTTGTGAATTATTTTGTTGGGTGACATATGAAAAAAGTTGGTTTGTCAGTAAAATAAAATTGTTTTTGTGAAATTTTGTTTTTCCAAATATATTTTATCACACTAGTGAAATACCTACCCACCTGTACTACCATTTGCACTATATTCAACAAAGAAAATTTTATTTTACGTTTTAGACCAAATTTGGAAACCCCCTTTTCCAAAGACAAGTGTGTTTAAACTGTTTAATCATGTGTGTTGTTAGTTTGTCTTTAGAAAAACAATGACCTTTTAATTTTAAAGGAATCTTATTACTTGAAAAATAACTGTGTTACTGTGCCTTAAACCTTATTCTGACTTAATAAAACTGTTTCTAAATACTTAACTGGTATTTTAAATATGCCTGCTGTGTCTAATACTACATCATGTGTTTTACAAAAATTTTGGTTTTGAATGGACAATCCGTGGTGCTCAGTACTACAACACTGAACTTCGGGATGGTGGAAAAAAAAGTATAAGGATTGTGTACAGAGTTTTTCTAATCTACAAAAAGCCAAACCACAAGATCTGGGCAGCCAGGATGGGTCAAACTAAAAGGAGAACCACCATAAATTCTATAAGGAAGAAGCATTATCTGTGCTTTTACTGACATATCTTAATTTTCAGTAAGGAAGACATCCGTATGATGATTAGCTGAACTCTCCAATTCCTGATAACTTTCAGGATCCTTAGGAAAGAATGAGAACCCTGCCAAGTTAAAGGAGCAGTGTAATGTCAGGAATATCAACCTGTATTCCTGACACTAGTGTTAAACTATTTAATCATTGTTATTATTTATTTAAATAAAAGAAAAATGTAAGGGGTCATTTAGACCTATACACGATTAGAGATTGGAATGAATAATTATTTTTTTTAAGTGACGTTTAGAATTCTATAAAGTAATGTCCTAATTGGTAGAGTGATGGGGAGGCGAGGCCAATCCTTTCTTTTATTTCATCCCTTTTTTCATCGATTGATTTAAAAAAAAATAAAACTTTTTACATTTATTTTTATTTTTTTGCTTGTTTGTTCAGTGTGATACCCATTAGATGTTTAGGTATTGACTCGGGCGTTTTTTAACCCAGCACGCTTACCCACAGGTCATGTGGGTTCATTATCTCATTATCTAAGCAATGGGGGAAATTGCTCGAGATAAAGTATGGCAGGGAGTTTGTGCCATACACAAGCCATGTCTTAGGCTGATTCCTTTGTTTAGGACCAGCCTGTCTGTAATTTTATATATATATTATATATATATATATATATATATATATATAATTTAGTGTGTGTGTGTATATATATATCCTATGTTATGATAGCCCTGATGCACAAATTGGAGAGAGAGAGCCATTTGAGCTGGCAGATACTGTTAAATTAAGTTAGCATCACTGAACGCCCATGGGATTAACTCACCATTTAAAAATTCTCTAAATCTGGATTTCTCTGGAAAAAAACAAAGACAAGTTTGTGCATTACAAGAAACACATTGGATAAAAATCGACAAAATTAATATAAGATCTGTTAATTATCCGCTTACTATAAGTGCAGCTCTGGAACAAAAAAAAAAAAGGGGGGGGTGGTGGCCTTTGTTCTCTAAAAATATATCGATAAATATTAAATACCACTATCTTGATAAAGAAGGAAGATCTATTATCCTGGTGTGCGAAATAAACAAACTCTTTACACTAGCTAATATATATGCACCTAATTAGTCTACCATAAAATTCATAACAGATTCTGAAGAAAATTGATCAAATCAAACTATTAATGATGGGCGATTTCAACTTTGTAATAGACCCTTTTAAAGACAGGAAGAACTATAATGGAAAAAAGATCAATAAAGGATCTTTAGATAGACTACAAAATTTGATAGATCAATATAAAGTTAGGGACATATGGAGAACGTTTCATTCCTTGGAGTTGGACGTCACGTTTTACAAAAACATTCAATTCCCACTCCAGAATCAACCTTATTTTGGGGGATGTAATACAGGATATAACATAGTCAGACCATAACCCAATCATATTTGATTACAAAGACGCTTTTGATAAGTTTTTCGTAAAGACTGGCGATTGAACGATTATATATTATACAAAAATTATAATATTGAACAGATAAAAATAACAAAAATAATAAGGGGACGTCAGATACTGTAGTATGGTGCGCTTACAAAAACGTAATTAGAGGCCACTTGATGGGGATGGCAGCTAGAATGAAAAAGAAAGAAGGAACCCAACTCTGAGCTATTTATAGCACTAAATGAATATAAGAAACAGAATAAAATAACACCTACAGAAATTGCAAAGAAAATATCAGAAATAGAACAGAACATAAATGTACAGTTATCCAATTAAATAGCAAAAACTTTAGAATTTTTTCAATCTAAATGGTACCAAAAAGACAATAAACCTGAAGTGCTTATGACTAGTATGTTGAAAAAGGAAAAAAAATAAGAGTGATATCTAGAATTAGGGATAAAGATACATACGTAATGGCCCCAGAACAAATAGGTGGAGCATTTGAAATTTTTTTTTTATAGAGATCTATATAATCTACCACAGGATTTATTTGGTAATATTGAAGAAATCAAAAAATTATTTAAAAATTTCCCAAATTCTACCTGACCAAATAGAAGTAATAAACCAACCCATATCAGAAACAAAAGTTATTAAAGCGGGGGGCGGAGCCTGACTGCTGAACAGATCAGACATGTCTCGTCTGAGCTCCAGGATCTGGGCCAGAGAATCGGAGCCAACTCAGTGCCACAAGCCGCTACTAACCCCAATTGGACCCCAAACTGTCCACAAGATGGGGACACACAAGATGGTACCACACACAATATGGTACAGCACCGGAGTAACCCGACCAAGGCCTGGGGCCTACGAGAGCTTGAGCCGGGGAGGGACGGCCGCCCCCCCGGGTCTCCGAACGGCGTCCTGCGATCCCCCCCCCCTTTGGACCGGTGGGGGTTATCCCGGTCCCCACGGGCGACCACCAATGTCGTCTGCCGAGCCCAAGCGCAAACAGGGCCGCAGAGCACAAGCTGGACGGAGCGCTCCAAAATGGCGGACAGCGTGCAACCTCATGGGCAAACGAAGAATGTCCCACCGAGTCCTGCAGGGACCATGAAGTGGAAGTACTGGCTGGCAGCCCGCAAACCTACAACCTACCCTAAGCTACAAGAAACACCGACAAGCAGCTGTATGTCGGAAGACAAAGAGCGGGAATCGAGGGAATTCTCCCCGGACGCCAGTGGTACACACACCATGCAACCTTATCGCACAAGCACTCACAGACTGCGGCCGCCCAGAAGCTTCAACCTCGAACGTCTGCTCCAGTCGCAGCGGACCCGAAAGCACAGGAGGAAGCGCCACACTGGGTTCCATGCCAGCCCCTATGCGGCCTTCAAAGAAAGCACTCAACCCACGAGCCGCAGAGGGCAGACCCCCAGGAGTGCCCACGGCTACGAGAGAAGCCTGCCGGGACTTTTCTACCGGGTCCCCAGAGACACTATATGCCCAATACAAAGGCTAGACGCTTTTTCTGGACTCTATGTTGGTCACTCAGACGCTGCTCCAGTGTTACACATACTGAAACAAAACGGTACCAACAGACGCACAGACACCAGGACTGACACAGCAACAAACCAGCACAAAACAGGCAGAGACACACATACGCACAAACCAAGACACTACTCAAGACAGACACACACTACCGCAGGCACCTACAATACACACAAGCCCTGACAAACTCATCTGATACTAACCAAGAAGACCCCAGACCTGTCCTGAAAAGTCAAGGCAGACTAACACCACACAATCCATGATGGCGCCCGAGGTAGACCAAGCTAGAGTTAAACCACTTTGCCCAAACGATACGCTAGAAACCGTACAACCATTTGCTTAGAACCTGTACACGTGTAACTATTAACCAGGCAAATCTCAGTGAAACCAAATGTAATCTCAAATATATCTGTGTTCATGCTCCAAATGTCAAATCTGTCAATACTGGCGATGATTATAAAGGGAGCACCACTTGCTTAAGCTTAATACTCTACTATTACCATTATAAAAATTGTGCAGACATTAATGTGCCATATGTGAAATACATGTTGTAATTGTGTACGTGACTGCTATTGTGGCACCACGGCTCATTTGTGAAATCTTGCACACAAAAATAAAGAATTAAAAAAAAAAAAAAAGTTATTAAAGCAATAGATAAACTTAAAGAAAGAACTGCCCCAGGCCCAGATGGCTTTACAAATACATTTTATAAAATTATGAAAGATCAATTAAAAGAAGAACTTGTAAATATTTTTTAACTATATGATAAATACAGGAAGATGTCCTGGAGAGTTATTGAGCGCAAATATCGTTCCAATTCCAAAACCAGATAAAGATCCAGAACTGATAAGTTATTTTAGACCGATATCATTGATAAACACAGACATCAAAATATTCTCGTTGATACTTGTGGATCGACTGAAAGTAGTCATACCAGATCTTATTTTTTTCTTTTTAAAATTTTTTTTTCTTTTATATTTCAGATGGGTACCTTAACACTGCATAGCTATTAAAACTATTGCAGCGTGTATGTAGCTTAAAGGTCTATCTGTCATCATTAATACAATATTGCTTCTGTTCATATAACATCAAATTTATATCTCCCACAGAAGGAAAGAAGAAAAAAAAATAGACCATTGGGATAAACCTTACAACGCAGGTGCATGCTCCTGGTGAGGTGGCAGATGGTATCCTGAGGGATCTCCTCCCAGACCTTCACTAAAGTATCTGCCAACTCCTGGACAATCTGTGGTGGATGGAGCGAGACATGATGTCCCAGATGTGCTCATTGGATTCGGGTCTGGGGAACGGGCAGGCCAGTCCATAGCATCAATGCCTTCATCTTACAGGAACTGCTGACACACTCCAGCCACATGAGGTCTTGCATTGTCTTGCATTACGAGGAACCCAGGGCCAACCGCACCAGTATATGAGGATCTCATCTCTGTACCTAATGGCAGTGAGGCTACCTCTGGCGAGCACATGGAGGGCTGTGCAGCCCCCCAAACAAATGCCACCCCACACCATTACTGACCCACTGCCAAACCGGTCATGCTGGAGGATGTTCTCCACGGCGTCTCCAGACTCTGTCACGTCTGTCAGATGTGCTCAACGTGAACCTGCTTTCATCTGTGAAGCGCACGGGGCGCCAGTGGCGAATTTGCCAGTCTTGGTGTTTTCTGGCAAATGCCAAACGTCCTGCACAGTGTTGGGCTGTAAGCACAACCCCCACCTGTGGACATCGGGCCCTCATAGAAACATATAGAATGTGACGGCAGATAAGAACCATTTGGCCCGTCTTGTCTGCCCAATTTTCTAAATACTTTCATTAGTCCCTGGGCTTATCTTATAGTTAGGATAGCCTTATGCCTATCCCATGCATGCTTAAACTCCTTATTACTTCAGCAAGATTGCATTAAATTCTGCAAAAACAAAACAGACATTGGCAAGAGATTAGCTGTTTTAAAATAACTAAATAGATGTCCAATGGCAGTTTTGGCTAGATTGATTTTAAACAAACTAAAATGACGGTCTCCGGTTAGTTTGGCAAGAATGTAAAGATCAACGTGAAGAAGAAAAAGAACAAGTAGATAGAGGAGTGAAGAGAAATAAGGTGGGAAAAAAGTAAATACACTACCACATAGTTTGAAAATTCTGCGAGAAGCAAACTTGGGCAGTAAAAAGATTAAATTGTTGGGGGAAAAAAGAAAAGGGGGAGAAAAAAAAAGGGGGGGTTGACGAACTAAACAAGATACTCAAGATTGCCACCCCAGCTTAACTCCTATCACTTGATTTCAACAGAAAGACCTATTAAATATTTACACATTATGACAACTAAATCTTTAGAGAAGATGCCTGCAAAAAGAAAAAAAGGAACAAAAATCATGTGCTCAGCAGGGATTAAATCGGACTGATTCTTAATGACATCAATTATAGTAAATAACGTAACAATCACATAGATACATAATAATAAATGAAAACACAGACTCCGAACTGTTGCAGAAAAGGCCGTCTTTTATTTAGTTTGAAATTAATACAACCAATCCTTAATAACTTTATAACCAAAACATCTCCGGTCTTTAAACCCCAAGAGCATTAACCAAAAATCTCCGGTCTTTAAACCCCCAGAGAATTAAAACATAACTCACCAGAGTTTCGCCCTATTAGCCAGAACTTCAACCAAATGATCATAAACTCAGCTAGTCCACCCCCCTTTAAATTAGGCAGGTGACCTGAACCCCAATAAAAGACTACGACAAATGAATAGGGAGGGAGGGGAAAACAACTCCAAGAAGGTAAGTTGTTCTTTCTTCACAAATTCTTCTCTCTTCTGGAGCCAAAATTTCACCTCAGGGCGCCTTATATATTGTATTTCCGTGCCAAAGAGTACCCTCGCGGACAAGTGTTCCAATTAGAGCACTGTCCGCATGGACCCTTGATTGAAAGACGCACGAGGGCACAGCAACAGCTGTTGCTAAATGCCCCCACGGTCAGAGCTAATCGCACCGCGATCTGACCTCCGGTTAACCTCGCGGCGCACATGTGTACCTAGTCTATGGACTAGGTACATTCTGAAAGAGAACCATCAAGTGTTTTTTCACCAGTAGGTAAACTGACAAAAGAAAAAAAACAAGAAAATGCGTCTTTCTCTTCATCAAGATGTGAAGAATCAATGCAAAGCTCTTCTAGCCAAACTGAAAATTATATCACAGAAGACTTTCTGAAAAATTGTATAGAAACGCAGCGTGAAGCAATAACCGACCAACTCAACAAAAATTCTGAAGAGATTAAAAATCAGCTAAAAGATATATCCGAAAAAATAAAAGTAAATGAAGAAAAATCACAACTTTGGAAAACAGTGGAAAAATATTGAAAGATCAAAATGAACAACTGAATGATCAATTGAGAACTATGGAAGGTAAAAGAGGAGATTTAGAGGATCGCACAAGATGCAATAATCTCAGAATACGAAATGTTCCAGAGACGATTATCCAAGAACAAATTCCAGAGTTCTTAGAGAAGCTATGGTCCGCATTAAAGATAGAAGTATCAAAATATAATACCAACATAGAAAGATACCATCGATTATTTAAACCGAAAGCTATACCACAACAACTACCAAGAAACATCAAAATAAGTCTCCAATTATTCCAGTTTAACCTCTTAAGGACACATGACGGAAATATTCCGTCATGATTCCCTTTTATTCCAGCAATTGTGTCCTTAAGGGGTTTAAGAAGCACTATTTGTGCTATTCGAGCCAAAATAACCTTAGAAGAGGAGTTTAAAAATATAAATATATTTCAAGACTTATCATTTTTTTTTTTTTTTTTACAAGGCCACAGAGAAGAAAATCTACTACGGTTCTTTAAGGGATTCAAATATAAAATACTCCTGGAGCTACCCTAACAAGAAAAATATTACAGAAGGATATACCGAGACTTTTGATTCCCCAAAACAGATTGAAGATGGGCTTATAAGGAAAAACAAGGTTATATTATCCCCTGCATAATATGGAACAGAGAAGATGCTGAGGAAAAAGATGAAAAAGATAAAATGTTCAAGAGATGATAGGGAGGATGTGAAAGATTAAAAAAATGGACGATAAAGCAAGAAAGAAGATTTAAAAGAAAGGAAAATGAAATACTTTAAAAAAAAAAAAATTTCTCTCTCTATATATGATCTAACATTCGTACTCATCATGATAAAATAGAGGGTAAATAGGTTAGAAAAGAAAAAAAGACTCACATAAACACTATATTTTGATAATAAAATGTAGGAGAGGGAAGAGAGAAGGGAAAGCAAAGGGTAAAATAATTACGTGAGATATATATTAAGCACAACAGTCAATGAATGAAGGTCATTAAATAGATGAGGAAGAAAATAGAAAGATAAATAAGCAGAAAGAACACAGAAAGGAATAAGAATAAACAGAAATAATTTAGCAGAAAAGAAATACACAAAAATAGATAAAGGAAATCACCATATTCCTCAACACTAAAATATAAATATAACACAATTATGTAAATTACACATCAAATAAATTAATTAATGCATGACAGATCACTAATAGAAAGAGAGAGCAGTAGGGGAAAAGAACACAGGAAAAAATAAGGTTTTAATCTAAAAAGGGAAAGAGATAAGAAATGGGAAAAGAAAAAGAAGGAAAAAGGATTTTTGTTTATTTCTTTTTATATATTTTTTTAATGCTTACACAGTTCCCTTTGTCCCTGATATTCGTCATGTCCCCCTTTGATCGAATCTCCTCTTTTAATGAACAGAAAATATAGGAAAAACACTTATATATATGTAGAAGGGATACGCAGCAAGATACACTGAAAATAGTAAAGACACAAATATATTATAAGTATATCTATTAATAATGGTTTAAGGAGTAAGAAAGGGGAAGGAAGTAAAGGGGAAAAGGCAGAGAAAAGAGGAAGGAAAGAAGAGGAAAAGGAGGGAAAAAAGAAAGACAAAGAAAAAGGGATAGCGCAAAGGAACTACAGTACTGATTCTCTCTATGGGAAAAAGGTCAGATTGACAAAATAATTACCTGTCAGGGTACCTGTTGGTGCTGAATCCAGGGAAGACATCCTCTCTGTTTAGGGGCTCCCTGCCCCTAGCATTTCGGCATATTCCGGCCGTTTTCGCGCCGGCCGCGCTAGCTCCTCCCCCTTTTA